TTACAAAATATCCTCATGGAACATGATCTTTACTTAATATCCTAATGAATTTTGGCATAAAAGAAAAATCGATAATTTTGACCCATAAATTTTTTTTTTTTTCTCTTGCTTAAAATATACCCAAGTGACTTAAGATTGGTCTTGTGGTCCAGGGTCATATATATATATATATATATATATATATATATATATATATATATATACATATATATATATACATACATACAGTGCGGTGAAAAGGTAAATTCGTTCACACTTGGCGTAAATGCGTTCACACTTGGCATATTTGGTTCGATTAAAACGAACCCTGGTGCGATTGCTCTGTTAGTGCGGTTCATTTGAGCATGTGTGAACGCTGCCATCCAAACGCTGGTGCGCACCAAACAAGTGGACCGAGACTGCTGAAAAGATGGGTCTTGGTCCGCTTCCAAACGAACTCTGGTGCGGTTTGAATGATATATGAATGCAACACAGACCAAATACTTTTAAACGAACCAAAAACAGGAAGTAATGACAAGATGCGACGCTATGCCACATGATTTGTCGACGCGGTGTAACCAAAACAAAATGAGCAGAGGGCAAACGTGGAGCAACGATGAGGTAAAGTGCCTTTTATGAGCTCCTTGTGAGTTTGCACGTGGTGAAAATAAAATTATATGTACAGACAAGAATGAGCGCGCTTAGTCCAGCAGACGGCATTAGGTGTGTTCGACTTAAAACGGCGCTGAGCAGACCGATCGGTTAATGGGTGCTTTGATATCATACACCCGCAGCGCCGCTTTAAGTCTAACCCACCTTTTGTTTGGGGTGTTCGGTGACTTCCATCACGATATATATGTCGTTCAAGCCGACCAATCAGGTTGTGAACATATCACTATGCCTTTAGGTTCGCTGTCTTTTGGTTCGCTGTCAAAATGCCAATGTGAATGCTAAGCGGACCAGGACAAAATGTATCATTTTCCTTTTTGGTCCGGACCAAATGAACCTGAATGGTCCAGACCAAATGAAGATCATCAAACAAATTTTAATATTACGCAAGGATAATGCAAGAAAATACAAAATGCAGTTTTTAATGATGGTTTCATTTATTAAAGGGAAAAAAAACGTTCAAACCTACCTGGCCCTACATGAAAAATGAATTGCCCCTCCTGTTAAATCATAAAAGAACTGTGATTAACAACATTATTTTAGAAAGCTGAGTTAAATTTCACTAGCCACACCCAGGCCTGATTACTGCCAGACCTGTTGAATCAAGAAATAATTTAAATAGAACCTGTCTGACAAAGTGAAGCATGCTTAAAGAGCAACACATCATGCCGCGATCTTAAGAAATTCAAGAACAGATGAGAAACAAAATAATTGACAAGTATCAGCCTTGAAAGGGTTATAAGGCCATTTTTTAAGGCCTTGGGACTCCAGCGAACCACGGTCAGGGCCATTATCCACAAATGGAGAAGACTTGTAACAGTGGTTAACTTTCACAGGAGTGGCCGGCCTACCAAAATTACTCCAAGAACGTAGCGACGACTCATCCAGGAGGTCATAAAAGAACCCAGAACAACATCTAAAGAACTGCAGGCCTCACTTGCCTCAATTAAGGTCAGTGTTCATGATTCAACAATAAGAAAGAGACTGTGCAAAAACGGCATCCATGGGAGGCATCCACTGCTGACCAAAAATAACACAAAAGCTCGTCTCACATTTGTCAAAAAAATATATTGATTATCCCCAAGACTTTTGGGCAAATATTCTGTGGATTGATGTGACAAAAGTTTTTGGAAGGTGTGTGTCCCATTACATCTAGCGTAAAACCAAAACAGCATTTCATAAAAAGAACATCATACCAACAGTCAAACATGGTGGTGGTAGTGTGATGATCTGGGGCTGCTTTGCAGCTTCAGGACCTCGACGACTTGCCATAATTGATGAACCCATGAAACCTGCACTCTATCAGAAAATCCTGAAGGAAAATATCCGGCCATCAGTTTGTGACCTCAAGCTCAAGCACACTTGGGTTATGTAGCAGGACAATGATCCCAAACACACCAGCAAGTCCACCTCTGAATGGCTCAAGAAAAACTAAATTAAGGTTTTGGAGTGGCCAAATCAAAGTCCGGACTTATGCAAAGGTTGTCACAACCAGTTATTAGATTTAGGGGGCAATTACTTTTTCACGTAGTGCCAGGCAGGTTTGGACAGCTTTTTTCCCTTAATAAATGGAATCATTATTTCAAAACTGCATTTTGCATTTACTCGGGTTATTGTTGTGTAATATTAAAATTAGTTTGATGATCTGAATATTTTAAGATCTTGTGACAAATATGCAAAAAAAAAAAAAAACGGAAGGGGGCAAAATCATTTTCACAGCACTGTGTATATATATATATATATATA